TGTGTGTCACCTGGCCACGTCTCCAAATGGGGGAAAGAGGCATCAGAGAAAAGCAGTGAATGCACATCAGAGAACATTGAAACTGCCTTAATTTGAAGAGCATGATTTGGTGTTTCCTGCAGGAAACTGCACTTGAAAAGTTTTAATCAGCAGGAGCTGTGGCTAGAATTAATTCTGAATTAATCTTGCTTTGTCACTAAATATTTCTATTTACATTGCTGACACAACAATCTTGGCTAAGAATTGGGCAAGTATCGGGCATTTCCACACTGAAAGCTTTTGGATTTATCAAAGAATCATAGAATCCTTGAAAACCCTGGGTTGGAAGGGACCTTAAAGATCCTTCAGTTCTGACCCCTTGCCATGGTGGTTTACTTTTAGACTGGGCCATACTGTCTCCAGTGAGCTTGTCCATGCAATACCCCTGAGCTCTGATCCTAAAGGGAGTCTGCAAAATTACTAGGAGAAATGAACTGACCATGATTTCTTAAGCTTTCCTCTCTTAAAACACCATTTCCCATTCTAGCTGTAAAAAAACCCCACTTGTAGTCTCCATATTAAGGTCTATAAACTTCATACTTAACTTTTTATTTCTGCTTTATTCCTCTTCTCTCAGTTGCCAAATATTGCTTCTGTGTAATTGAAACAGAGCTGTAGTTTGATTATTAAACAGGGAAAGTAATTGTGTTTGGCTGTACAGAGGGAAGTAAAGGTGCTGCATGGAAAAAAAACTTAAACTGTGGAAAAGTTGCTCTTTTTTTTCAGAGCAGAGCTTGAGGGTAAAAGCTCCTGGGGGGCAGCAGTCCCACCACCAAGGGCTGACCTTCAGGGGTGTGGGTTTGACAAGACAGTCTGTAAGGAGGGTGTACATAATTTATTTCTCTTCTCCACCCCTCTCCTCTATTCATTTGTGTCTCAAAATATTTCCATTTCGAATAACCCCCCACCCTGTGTTGTAGGACCCGACCTGTGGCTCAGCCCGGCTTTGTACCTGCAGTTCTGGCGGGAACAGCGTTTGGGAGGCTGGGGTAAGAGGAGGGTATCAGGTGTCCTAAGCACCAGGGGTGATCTCTCCTGTTGGAATCCCAAGAAGACAGAGATCATCAGCATGTGACAACTCCTGGGTCCCGTTTTTTACCCCCTCCCCCATCAGCAGAGGACCACGCAGAGCTCTGCCGCAGCCCTGCTGGCAGCGAGTCAAGCGATACAGCTGATGCTTTGCCAGTTGTGACATGCCTGGGCAGAGCACACTCCTGTTTTATCCGCCACAGTTGCTTAAAACCAAAAATAACCACTTCTCTTACAGCGAAAAGTTTGAGGTGGATGAAAACGGTGCTGATCTTGAGAAAAAAAAAGAAAAAAAAAGCAGAGGAGGGAGGGAGCTCTAAGCAAGACAGAGCAAAGACGGGCAGGACTTATTAATATATTCGAAATTCTGTTTATATTTCCAGCTCCTAAACCAGCTGCCCCGTGCGAAGGGCACATCCCCGAGTTTCCCCAGACCTGGGGAAGCTCCTGCCCGGTTTCGCCCGGGGCGGGTGTCCCTCCGTGGCGTTCCCGGAGCGTTATCCCGTTGTTATCCCGCTATCCCGGGGGCAGATGCCGGGTGGGAAGCAGCGCCTGCCCGCAGATGGAGTTGCTGCTGCCAACTCTCGCGAGCTCTATGTCAGAAACACTCGATTACAATGTCACCGCTGGACAATTTACGGGCTTAGAGCAGCAGCCGCTCGGCTGCGCTTCCCCCGAGGTACCCAAAGATCCCGACTCCTAAAAACTTTGTAGCTCTTGTAACAGAAGCGGGGTAAGTGATTCTCTCTTTCCGTGTCTCTCGTGCCTGCCGGGATGATTTACAGTTCGGCTTGGTTTGCACGGGGATTGGGATCTTTAAAAACGTTCTGCTCCTGCCCATTTGTTGCTCTCTTGGGAGAACTCCCCCTGCTCTGCCAGCGCAGCGTGTGTATCCAACCTCGGGATTATTCAAGGGATCCTGGTCTGAGTAAATTAAGCTGCGCTAGAAATCACTTGTTAATTCGACTATCTCTCCTATTTAAATAGTGATTATATAGCCCCGTGTATAGATTTTTTTGGGCTGGGTAAGGATTTGCAAGGGGAGGAAACAGTGATTGAAATAAACAGTGTTCCCTTGCTGAATAAGAATGCAAAAGTAGACTCTGTTTAACTTTTGCTGGAGGAAACTACTCCAGCAGCAGCTTTTTAAAATATGCAAATACACTGTAGGATATAACTATGCTGGGTTAATGTTGATGAGCTAAAGCAATTTCTGACCCTTTTACTCTCGTAGTAATAATTGAGTCGTGTTTGTTTTGCTCAGTGTGCTTTACATTGCCGAGTTTGGTTTAAAGCAGCATTAAAAACCTTATTAAACGTAATATTTGCCATGCAGTCGAGGTGTAATAATAATCCTCTGTTGCTTGCTGCTTCTGTTAATATTGGCAGTGTAGCTTGAGTCAAGTCCTCTCATTCAGTAGTACAAAACTTCTGTGTTTTTCAAGCTTGATCTGTTTCTAACTTTTCCTTTGAAATTTGCAGAACTAAGTTAAAAGGTACCCAACTGAATTTTTTGCTATTTTTTTTTCTTTCTAATATTCTTGTTTAAAACTTCATCAGTTTCTTTTCTTGAAATGCTACAGTGTTTTCCTCCCATCACATTCCTTTTTAACTAACAGGAAAGTGCACGGGGTAATTAATTTTAATTACTACTTAGAGAGTAAAAGCTTTAGAAACTTTAAAGTCTCTTGCTTTTCTTAGTGTTATTTTCTCTTCATAGAGACAATATTTGAAATATCTTATTATTTCCAGCTTGTAGCTGTGGTTTGGCCCTAATCTTTCTTCACATGGTCAGTGAAGTGTCAGTGAAGCAACAGATGTATAGAAGTAACTTCTCCCATCTCACAGTGGTATTGGGTGCTCAAATACCCAACTAGATCCCTAATATTAACATTCTTCCCAGTCACCCCAGTTGCCTTGGATGCCTCCATCTCTTCTCCATCCCATCTCCATCCATCATTATCCTTCTCCCCCCTCTGGTGGGTTTTTAGGATCCTGGTGGAAGAGTTCAGGTCTGATTTTACAGATAGGGCTGAGATGAGCCCTGGGGTGCTCAAAACCAGTGAAGTTTCAAGAGCAGATTTACAGAGCAAACCAAGTTATTTTCCTCTCCTCTCCTTCCATGGCATCTCTTAAATCTTCCTGAGAAAGTTTCAAAATTAAACACGCCGTGTTAAAAAAAATAATCCCAAGTGAGAGTGGAGTCTGTGTCAGTTTAGCAGGCTGGAAATATTCAGCAAACTGGTTCAGTTATGCCAAATTCTCTCAAAGACAGTGGCATTTAGGCTTGAGTGTTTTAGGAAACTAAGGGAACTGTGAAGACAGGCTCTTGTTTTGGTCTTTGTGGAGGTTTGGGCTGGATGTCAGGAAGATGTTCTTCCCTTTGAAAGGTGGTGGGCACTGAACAGGCTCCCCAGGGTTTGGTCACGGCCCCAAGGCTGCCAGAGCTCCAGGGGTGTTTGGACAACGCTCTCAGGGACAGGGTGGGATTGTTGGGGTGTCTGTGCAGGGCCAGGAGGTTGGGCTGGATGATCCTCGTGGGTCTCTTTCAACTCAGAATATTCCATGCTTCCCCAGGGCCACAGAGGGAGAGGAGCTAAACGCCACTAACTGATGGGAGTGAGCCTCCTGTCCATGCCAGAGCGAGTCCTGCTCACCCAAACTCCTCAGGAATTGCTGGACCACATGAGCTGACAACTCACATCTTTAAAATTTAGCAAACAGTGGGGCACTTGCAGGTTTCTGCAAGTCAAGCTGAAGGTGGAGTGTGACACCAGTTCTGATTGCCCCTGTTCACCACCTTATCTATTTTTTTTAACACAGCAACAAGATAAAACAGCAATACATTTGCATGCTTTCTAAAATTTATCTATTTGCTATCTGTTTTGATGAATGATAAAAATATCCTTGAAGATTCCTCCCTGCTTCTTTGGTGCTGTCTCAAAGTTAAGAACCTCTTTGCACAAAATATTCCCTTTTCCCCCTCCCTACATTTTCTTTCTAAGAACAGGCAAACAATCAGGAGGAGCTCAAATTAGGCCACAGCTGTATTTTCCATACAAATTGGCTTCATTCCTTTTAAGGACACAAATTCTTCTCATTAACAAAGAGTGGCCTGTTTAAAGGGGCAGGACAGAGTACATGATGTACTACAAGGCAACAAGGAAAAAATAGAAGAGAGCTTTATTGAGCGTTTTCAGATATGTAAAGCACAGAAATGGATTTATGCAAATAGCCTTTGTCTGAATTTTCACTTTCAAGAGGACAGTACTGGGGTTTTATAGCATTTGAGAAGGTTGGGGTAAATCAGACTATTAGTACTTATATATGGTATACAATCAGCTTTTATTCCCTTAGCTTTTAGATAATACTAATTATCACTTGGAAAGGTTCTCAGGAAGCAATGAGTGGACAATATGTAAATTTTTAGGCACTATCTACATATATTCAAGATCCTTGGTGTTTTAGCATTTTAATGTTCATTCTAAGTAGCAGAAGTTTGACTACTACTATGTAGGACTCTGATGGCTGTGAACTTGCTTAAACTCCTCTAGAGAAACAAGATCTTGAAAGACATGACTCATTTAAGTCTTTAGGACTAGTGTTTAAGTCACCTGCTAACTGGAGTAAGCAGAGCCTGCTTATGTGACTTTACCTTGCCTGGTCTGGCTCGTTCAGTTCTGTGCAGCAGAATTTTGTTCAGCAGCAGAATTTTTCTGCAGGACTGACCAAATGCAAAACACCAAACACGGTCTTTGCAACACAACTGACAAACGAGAATTTATGGTTAAATACTGCTGAGCTTTGTGCAGCAGCACCATCTTCTTTTCAAAGCCCCTGGGATGAAGAGCACCCTTATTTAACAAATCATTTGGGCTCTGGTAGTAATATATTGCAACACTAATTCTGAATTTCTTTCTCGTGTGTTTCAGGCATCATGATTTGGACAAATGGGCCAAGTCTCCCTACCAGGTTTCTGATGTGGTTTCTTCTTCTGTGCATGTTCATCAGGAAGGTGATGCCTGAAGACAACATCGTTACAACCAAGAAAGGCAGAGTCAGAGGGACAAACCTGCAGGTCCTGGGGGGAACTGTGACAGCCTTCCTTGGAATACCTTATGGACAGCCACCCATTGGCAGACTGAGGTTTCAAAAGCCAGAACCTCGGGAGAAGTGGTCGGACGTTTGGGACGCCACAAAACACGCCAGCTCTTGTTACCAGCACGTAGACACAACTTACCCAGGATTTGCCGGATCAGAGATGTGGAATCCAAAAACTAACCTGAGTGAAGACTGCTTGTACCTTAATGTGTGGGTTCCTTCTCCCAGGCCCAAGAATGCAAGCGTCATGGTGTGGATTTATGGCGGTGGCTTCGAGTCTGGCTCCACCACCCTGCCGGTCTACGATGGCAAATTTCTGGCCAGGGTAGAAAGAGTTGTCGTGGTTTCCGTGAACTACAGGGTCGCTGCATTTGGGTTTTTGGCTTTGCCAGGAAACCAGGAAGCTCCTGGAAATGCAGGTTTGTTTGACCAAAGGCTGGCCCTTCAGTGGGTGCAGGAGAACATAGCAGCCTTCGGAGGCAACCCGAAAAGCGTGACGATATTTGGGGAGAGCGCTGGCTCGGCCTCTGTCAGCTACCACATCCTTTCCCCCAAAAGCCATCCTTTGTTCACCAGGGCCATCATGCAGAGCGGATCTGCCAATGCCCCTTGGGCTGCAGTCACAGCATCTGAAGCCAGAAACAGAGCAGTGGCTTTAGCTAAACAGCTCCAGTGTCCCACCAGCAATGAGACAGAGCTGATTCTCTGCCTCCAAGACAAGGACCCGAAGGAAATACTGGAGAACGAAGTCTTTTCTGTTCCAGGTGCCTCTTTTTTGCAAATGTATTTTTGTCCAGCTGTGGATGGCGATTTTCTCTTAGACATGCCAGAAAAATTGATCGAGAAAGGCCTTTTCAAACAAACGCAGATCTTAGTCGGCGTTAATAAAGACGAAGGCTCAGTATTTCTAGCGTATGGAGTCCCTGGCTTCAGCAAGGATAGTGATGGCTTAGTCAATAAAACCCAGTTTGAAACAGCCTTAACTCTGGCCTTCCCAGGAGCGAGCAAACTTGCGATAGAATCCATCATCTTTCAGTACACGGATTGGGAAAACCAGCACAGGCCGGAGCACTACTGTGACGCCGCGGATGATGCCGTCGGGGACTACAACATCATCTGTCCTGTGGTGGAATTCACCACAAAATTCGCCCAGCTGGGAAACAACGTGTTCTTTTACTTCTTTGAGCATCGATCCTCCAAGCTGCCCTGGCCAGAGTGGATGGGAGTGATGCATGGCTATGAGATTGAGTTCGTGTTTGGGTTGCCCCTGGAGAGAAAGGTGAATTACACCAAAGCCGAGGAAATCTTGAGCCGGTCCATGATGAGACACTGGGCAACTTTTGCCAAAACTGGGTAAGTTTGCTGGGGAGGTCGGTTTGATTTTTGCTTGTTGTTCCACCAGTGGAAAAAGCTTGATGATTTTGGTGCTGCCTGGAATGATGAGAACAGATTTATTGTTCAGTTATTCAGAAATTCTTTTTTAGTTCTGCTAAAAACACTGTCTTAATAAAATAAACTGTTGATGTGCTGCTCACTGTGTTGGATAAGCCTAAGAAAACAATGTTTATCCACCCCTAAAAGCAAGCACAAAACATTTTTTTTGCCTTAGCAGTAGTGTTTACAAAGGAAAGTAATGGTTTCAAGCGTTAGAAACAAAACATTTCAGACTCTGGGAAACAGAGAAGCAGGGGCAAAAACCCCAATTTCCTTGAAGATGTAATTTGCTCAGAATATGCAGGTTTATAATATAGAGGTGTGTTATGGACACATGATGAAGAGATTTCAGGACATGCTTCCCAGAAAGCCCCTCTTCCCACGTGTGCTGTGAGGATGAGCCTGGGCTTCACCGATCCTGGTGACAAATCACTCCCCATTTCCATTCGACTCATCTGTAAGGGAGATGTGTCCAAGCCTGGACAAGAAGCAAATAAGAATATTTCATGTGGATGCTTGAAATGGATTTAAATACAACCCCCTCATTAGGTGCCTTCTGCTGGTGTCCAGGACAAGTGAGGCAGCCCCTGCTCTGCTCAGCAGAGCTGTGGGATCTCAGTGCAACACTCAGTGGGAAATGAAAACATTTCAGAGCAGTAAGAAAACCAGCCACTGCTGCAGTCATGTGTGATTTGTCTCAAGGCTGCAAACCTGATGGGATGGGGAGGGATCTTGTGTTCCAGAAGCTTGGTTTGTGCTCTCTCCTGAGAAAATGACGTATATAAAACTACATACCTTTCAGAACTCACAACCAGACACTTAATTCACTCTACCAAATGCTTGTTTAACTTAAATTTCAAAGTCTTGCATTAATTCTGTTTCTAAGGTGAACCATTCCCTTGATTTATATATAGATTTGTAAAGGCTGAAATCAGCATTGTAACAGGATTTAATTAATTTTCTTAGTAGATTAGAAACCAGGGGAGACCACTGTGCTCATTTAGTCCATACCTTGTACATAACTCAAAACACAGGTAGGACTTACACATTTCCAGTGACTAAAAACCCAGAACAATCATTGGTACGTTGTTCTAAAGTTTAATTACATTTAGAAGGCTTAGAGTCATAAAAATAAGTTTTGTCTCTAATCTGAATTTGCCTATTCTACTTCTACTTTTTCCAAACACTATGTTTTGTTTGACAATTTTTAAGCTTTATTTTATGATTTTTTCCATATGGAGATAAAAATCTTTATTAAGGGTCTATTCAAATAATCCTTAATAACCTTTAATCCTTTTTTATTGTTTTATTTGTTAAATAAACCAGGTTGCACTCTTGAAGCTTTCACTATAATAGAGTTTTTTTCAAGTCCTTAAGTAATAACTATCCACCTTTAAACCTGTGATTCATCGACACCTCCTTGGAGTTTTCCGTGTTGGAGTTAAACACTGTTGTCCCCAAGGTGTTGTAATTAAAGGTGTCATCTATCCCTTCTAGTTCAACCTGATATTCCCTGTTTACTCATCCAAGGGTTGCCTTGGTTGTGGCGTTAATCAAGATGTGATTGATTGATTGATTGATTGATTATCTTGGTTTGTAGGAATATTAATTACCTTAACAACTCCTACCCCTTTATATGTTTGGAGCTTGTGGTATTTCTTTTACCATAGGTGGTGAGGATGTTAAAACTCAGAAAACATCTGTGCTCATCAGTGCAGAGTGTTTTAATACAGGTTTTATTATCGTGAAGTTTAATCTAAACTTTAATCTCCGAGCTCTTCCCGCCTCCCTCTCCACTCTGAGCCTGCTGACACCCCTCCGTGGGAATTCAGTGGGAAAGGCTGTGGTGCAGAGAGAAACATCCAGCAGGCTGCAGGCTCTGGAACTGAGCTGTGCAGTTGATTTGTCAATGCCAAAAATGCGTGTGATAGGTTGCCAGGCTGAGGTGAGGTCTGGAAAAGCCTGGTGACGCTTCCTGCATCGTGAAGACACGCTGTGACAACACGACTTTGAGGTGTCTTTTGGTCCTTGGTGGAGAGCAGAGTGAGTGAAGGCTCCTTATTACACACTCCATGCCCTGCAGGGGTTTGAAATCAGGATCTTACACTAGAGACAGCAGAGCTTTCCATTAAACACAACCATTTCTTAATGGAAAAAGAAAATTCAGGTCCGTATTAAATTTTACAGAACTGTATTCACAGTTCTGTGAACCGTTATTTTACACTAAATTACATATATTTAATTTTCATCTACATAATTTTCATGTATGTGTATATATATATTAATCTCAATAACCTGTTGTGCAAACAAAGGTCACTGTGCCTGTCCCTGTAGCTTGCTAAAAATAGACAACATAAGGTACATTCAGGTTGAATTTTGTAGAAGACAGTGCTGTCATCTCGTCTGATTATCATTCACACTGTAATTAGATTACCCTACAGATTGAATTTCAGGTGGTTTCCACAGCAAACAGCAAAATAATCCCTCTCTCTGCTTCCACACAATAATCAAAAGCATCACTATTGGGATAAACAATAAAATTGTGCAATTTATGTAGCAGTAAAAAATTAGGATTTACCCACTGTGTGACACTTCACTCCCTGACAAGAGCACAGACACCTCAGGCTCTGTTACACATTATTCACAGTGTGAGGAAGTAATAAAAATTGCTAATAATTCCAAGATTAAGAGGTGATCCTTGTTTTCCTGGCATATTTGAGCACACGGTAAACATTTATAAAGAACTGGGGAAGCCCTGTTTTGATATAATGTTTATAGGAAACTCTGACATGATCAAAGGGTAAACCTCAGAGGGGAAAATTCCCATTGATGTCTCCAGCAGATGAGGAGAAAATCAAGCAGAAAAAAAAAAAGATGAAAATGAGAAATGTTGTACAGCACAAATTTTAGTGAGGGCGTTTGACCTAATATTCTAATGTGCAGAAGTACAAGAGCACAAGGGAGGGAAGAGGAGCCTGCAAAGGGAAGGAGATGAGATAGAGTCAACAAAATTGGAAGAAATCATGTTTTTCCTGCTGTTTTCTGGCTAGGAGGGACTGAGAGCTGTTTCTCAGAGGGGTCTTCAAGCCCAAAGTTTGACCTTAGTGGTCTTTGTTTTTTATCCTCATGTGAGGAATTAAATTGATGATAGAAAAAGTTAAAAATATGCACTTCAAGATAATTTTCTGTTTCTGTCATTGTTTAACCCCAGGCAGCAGCTAAACCCCAGAAAAATGCTCACCCACTTCCCCCACAGTGGGATGGGGGAAAGAATCTGAAGGGTAAAAGCAAGAAAATTCCTGAGAAAGCCCCAAAGTCATGAAAGAACAAAAGTAGACTTGTTAGGGAGAAAAGGAGAAGTGACTCCTTCAAAGCATCCCAAGAGTGCATGTGAGATTCCTGATTTCTGCCTTTCTCAGTAACTAAAAGGAGACTGTCAGCCAGCCCAAGGCTTTCCCAGTCCACCCCCATCAGTAGCAGATGCAATTTTCCAAATCTCCAGACACTTCTTATTTCACATCCTTGCTAAAAATAAATATTGATGATAAGTGACCACTTTTCCTGGAAAATTACAGGCATCAAGAATTTTTATTTTTGAATATGAACAGGGAATGGGAGATGTAGATGATTCAGTAGAGACAGGAACAAATATTCGAAGGTAGATGCTCTTGTGAACAGTCTCTCTCCATCTTTCCTAAAGTTCCCCCTGTAGGTACTGGAAGGTATCTGATCTGCAATCAGATCACCCCAAAGCTTCCCTTCTCCAGGCTGAACAATCCCAATTATCACATCATATAGTATTACAGTATTATATTTTATGCTATTAGATCACACCATATTGTTCACTGTATCACAGATTTATCACCTCAAGTAGTTTGAGAAGAATGAAAACAAAAAAAAGACCCGGTGGGAGTGACTATTCAAGCAGTGACCACGGAGCATCTCGGTGAAAGGACAGACTGGGAGGGCCATAGGATTCCTGGCTGTGATGCTCAGGATCAGCCCTTGATTTACTTCCAAAACAGATCTAAGGAATCAGATGGTCTGTTGGGGTCTTGGAAGGAGGGAGAAAGTCCACAGGTAGGGATGAGCTGGCTGAGCAGTGTGAGGTCAGTCTGGGGGTGGATAGTGATGTCCATGAAGGTGCAGAGAAATCAAACTGCTATTTAAAAAAAGCTTCCAGGAATGACAATTCCTTTTCTGTCACCTGAACATTTCTGCTGTTTCATTTCATTATAATTTTTCAAGACTGAACTTTTGATATCGAGTAGGGTTGACCATCTATTCCAGTTTTTCCTTGTGCTATTAATGTAATTTCATAAAATATTTCTTTTTTAGTTGCATGTATTTGATCCTTGAAAAACCAATATTTTCATCATACCCTCAAAAAAATCTCTGTTCTACCAGCAAGGGAAGAAAGAGACTTATTACTTCTGCTGCCTGAATAAATCAAACATAATAAAATATTTGTGTTATAAGAAAGAACAGATTCCAAAATCAATGTACTTGATTTACACTCGGAGTTTAAATTCCTCCCTGTACCTTGACCCAGGGTTTCCTCAGCTGATTATTGTATTTAAGAACATTGGCAGTGGAATATCAATTGTTAGCCTTAAAATCATTTGATAAAATACCACATATCATCAAATTGGACAAAGAGATGTGGTCAAATGGGGTTCAGCAGGAAACCACAGTGTGATGTCATATGGATCAGGCTCAGAATGATCATGTTCCTGTGTAAATAACATTCATTTTAACAGTAATGTCAGTTTTCAGTGGCCCTCTCCTGAATTCTTTCCAGCACACTTTATCCTAAGCTACACCCGTGGCGAAAAAAATTGAAATTTCTCTTTTTGAACCCTTTTAAAGCTCATTTCTTTGCTGCACTTCTGTTATTCTTCAGAAAGCTTCCAAAAGTA